TGTATTTAAATCTTTTAAATGCTTAGATACCGTACAATCTATGAAGGACATTCATGTGTCAAAACGTAAGCGTCTTCATAGTCCGCCTAATGAAAGGACCGTTCCACGTCAGAACAATCTTCCGAATGACTTAATTAATCTTTCTTCTCCATGTCCACAGACAACGGAGTTATCTTCCTCAAAAGAACATATATCAAAGTCTGTTTCTAATAATAACGACCCTGCAGTATCTTCCCCGTCCCCCGTTGAAGTTGTGGCACCGCCATCTAATCTTCCAACGCTTACTCTACCCTCAATTAGTAACTCAATTACTCAACCCCGTCCGCCGGTAATCGAGTCTGATACTAGGAGACTGGTTGTGGTTCCCCCAAAGAAGTCTATATTTGTATCTAGACTTTCGAGGGATACTTTCGAGGACGACATAAAGTTTTACATCTCGTCCAAAGTTAAAACTGTCAACTTAAGTATCAGAAAATTTAATTTTAAATATTAAAGATATATTTCTTCATTTAAAATAGACGTAAATTTAGAAAATTTTGACATGCTGCTTAGTAGTTCTTTTTGGCCCTCCGGAGCTTTCGTTCGTGAATTTGAGTATAGGCCCAACAAAAATAATAATTTAGCAAATATTCCCCGTCAGAATACAGAACCAAAAAACTGATTACTAAATCTGCTTTAAGTATTTATTATCAAAACGTAAGAGGCATAAATACTAAATTAACGAATTTATATCTAAATGGCCTTGAATGCAATTATAATATAATTTCTTTGACTGAAACTTGGCTCAAACCTCACACTTTTAATTCAGAGATTCTTTCAAATAATTATCATATCTACAGAAAAGATCGGGAGGAGAGAGTCGGCGGTGGCGTACTCTTTGCCGTAGACTCTTCAATTCCATCTGAAGAAGTTAGTCCTCCACACATTGAATCTGCAGAATTCAAATGCATTCGTGTTCAGTTTGGAAGGGGGTTTACTTTCTTAGCTCTATGCTATATTCCTCCCCGATCTGACTTATCAGTGTATTCACAACATGTATCTTTACTGAAATCAACTAATTCAATGATTAAACCCTCTGATTCATTGATTGTGTTGGGTGACTTTAATTTACCAAATGTATCATGGAACATCATTGACAATGATATTGTACCTTTCTCGTCTAGCGCGTGCAACAACGTATTTTTAGAGGAGATGGCAGAACTCTGCCTGAATCAATTTAATGTACTTCGCAATAAGTTTGGCAAAGTATTAGATCTTGTTTATGTTGATGATGCATCTAAGTCGGCTGTAAATAAATGTGACCCACTAGTTTTGCCCGAAGATGTCTACCACCCTGCTATTGAGATATCTTACGAAATTATAAACGATGGTCAAAATTGCGATGTCCAAACATACGAACCAAATACTCGCTTTGATTTTTCGAAAGCCAACTTTAAAAAACTGAATAAAGAAATGTCTAAATTGTCGTGGCCTATATACAAAGAAAAAGTTGAGCAAAGCGTTGCACATTTTAATTGTACTGTACATAGATTATTTGAAAAGTATGTGCCTCAACGCATGTGTGTTCCTGAAGAACAAACACAGTTATGGTTCACTAAAGAACTGAGAAACTTGAAAAACAGAAAGTCACGTTATTTTAGATTACACAAAAAAACCGGCTTACACTCATACTATGTCAAATACTCACTTTTGCGTCACAAGTTCTTTGAATTAAACAAAAAGTGTTATAAAGATTACTTGTGTAAAATCAAACGACGTATAATATATAACCCCAAATCATTTTATGATTTCGTAAACTCCAAGCGAAATGTACGGGGGTTTCCTTCCGCCATGAAGTATCAAAATACCGTCTCTGGTGATAATCAAACAATTTCTAACATGTTCGCTCAGTTTTTTAAATCCAATTATTCCACTAACTCCCAAGCATACTTTGACTATCCTTTTAAACTAAGTCCAATTAACTCAATACATAACCCTATAATATCTCCCGATGATGTTTTAGTTTACCTGAAGATCTTAAAGCAGTCTTTTAGTTATGGTCCTGACCAGATCCCCACTTGGTTTCTTAGAAATTGTGCTGATTATCTCTATGAGCCGTTAACAGCCTTATTTAATTTGTCTCTTAAAGAGGGCGTTTTTCCAACTGTATGGAAGGAATCGTTCATAACCCCCTTACATAAAAGCGGTAGCAGGTCTTCAGTGGAGAACTACCGGGGCATAGCTAAGCTTTCTGCAATTCCTAAATTATTTGAAGCAATTATAACAAATCGGTTGACGCATTCTATCACTTCAAGCATTTCATACAGTCAACATGGATTTTGCAAGGGCAAATCAACTTCTACAAATTTACTTGAATTAACATCCTATATCTCAAAAGCATTTAGTGAGAGCAAAACTGTTGATGTTATATATACTGATTTCAGTAAAGCATTTGACAAAGTGTGCCACTCGTTGCTCATCTATAAACTTGATCTTCTTGGTCTTCCACCTAATTTTCTACGTTGGATCTCTTCATACCTCTCTGATAGATCACAAAGGGTATTGTTTAAAAATACTATCTCTGACGTCATTGATGTTACTTCAGGAGTCCCTCAGGGTAGCCACCTAGGCCCGATTCTGTTCTTGCTTTTTATAAACGATATTTCTACAGATATAAAATTCTCCAAAATTTTAATGTATGCAGATGATGTAAAACTTTATAAATCGTATGTTTCAATTGGAGAAAGGTCTTTGCTACAATCAGACTTAAACAGCATGGCTTACTGGTGTAAAGTAAATCTTATGCCTCTAAATCTTAAGAAATGTAAAGTAATGTGCTTCTCGCGAAGAGCTGTTCTGCCAGTTTCTTATATAATAGGTAACCATAACCTGGAACAGGTATACAATTTTGTGGACCTTGGTATCACAATGGATCCTAAGCTTAATTTTAATCTTCACATTAATGTGACAGTCAACAAGGCTAAAGGTGTACTTGCATTTGTGAAACGATGGTCAAAAGAATTTAGTGACCCTTATATCACTAAAACCCTGTTTACAACATTAGTTAGGCCGATTCTGGAATACGGCTCGGTGGTTTGGAATCCAAGGTATCAAATTTACTCAGACAAGATAGAATCAATTCAAAAACAATTCCTACTTTTTGCTTTAAGAAATTTCCGATGGGGTTCTCAATATAGTCTTCCACCTTATACGAGTCGCTTAAAACTTATTAACCTTCCTACACTTGCCAGTCGCAGGGAAATGCTTGGTATAATTTTTATGGTTAAATTACTGACAGGCTCAATTTCAAGTCCGTCTCTTCTGGCTGATGTAAGCTTTAATGTTCCCTCACGCGTATCCAGACACTTTTGTCCCATATTTCTGAAAGCTTGTAAAACCAATTTTGAGTTGCACGACCCACTCCGTTGCTTATGCCAGGATTTTAACTCTCATTCCAGCACGTTTGATATATCAGATCCGCTTTTCAGCATTAAGAAAGCGATACTCTCCTCTCTCAATAAGTGAATTATTGACATAAATACATAAAATCAGCTGATGAATTTAGTTCTGTAGCTGAACAGTTTTAGATCTCGACACTTAACAAACTCCTGCCTATCGTGACTCGGCACCAAAAATTTAAAGTATTGGTTGCGTACGTCATGCGGACTGCGCCCCTCGTGCGGTTGGGTGGGAATGGAGGGTAAAAACCGTTGGGATATTATTATTATTATTAACTTCTGATTTTAAATTTTAGCAAAAGTCATTATAAACATAAGGGGTGTTCCCTTAAACTGGAAAAAGCCTTGTAAACCTCGTAAATTTACGAACCTCGTAAAACAACTGTCAAAAATTTGTATGGAGCTCTATTTACGACCCCTCGACAAATTACGAGGCAAATTAGATGCGCAAATGACCTCGTAAACTTCAGTGCTACCGGGGGGAAGACATTTTTATACTAAAATGTATGATAAAAAAATGAAAAAAATAATAAAAATAAAATAAAATTAATAATAAGTAATCGGCGACCCCAGAAACTCTCGACTGCCGGTTTTCGAACAAATCCAACCAATTTAAAAAAAAAGTGATCGCCTGACTTCAGATTCCTAATCAGCGACTCCAGAAATCCCCTGGTAACAAGTTCCAACCCATGACAACGCGTAGATCGATCAGTATCAACGTTTTAATTTTACTAGGGTCTTTTCGAGAGCATATTTTCGGGAACTAGGCCCATTATAACTGCCCAAGATAGGTACGTATTTAAGGGAATGTTCTCCAATAATACCAGAGTAATTATGTGTAAAAACCACATTTTTAGCTGCATTTTAGCATACCAAGAAAATAAAAAAATTGAGAACATCAGCGATTTTATAAAAAACCGACCAGCGCGACCTCTAAATAACTTTTTATTTTCAAAATAAAAAAATACGAGTCTCTTTTTTTATCACAAATAACAATATTCTGATGTAGCGTTTATGGTTTTCCAAAAAGAGTGTTTTTATGAACCACTCTAATATGTATGTTGCATGTTTGTGTATGGACGTCGTTCGCTTAACATCGTTTTGTACTTGCGCTGTAGAAATTTTAGGTGCATGTTATGTAGTTTTTCTATTGAATGAAAGACTTATTGGCAATTAAATGTAATGCAATTGAATTGCATTCGCTCCATGTTTTTCATTTTCAACCTCAAAAATTGTTTATAATGACTTTTGCTAAAATTTTAAAATCAAAAGTTATCAAAACAAATTATGTGTGACTGATGCCCGGGCAAACAAGAATGCGAAATGATAAAAACGTTGTAAAAATGCTTTGCCTAAAATCCTTAAGCGTTAAGATATTTTCTAAAAATAGTTTTTATGGTCCAATTAGCCGCATATTTAAAATACATAGCCCAAAGTCCGAAACAATAAGAAACTGATTAACAAATAAAGAAAATTATAATTTCTATTATTATCCATATTCACTTTATTTAAACACTTGATTATGAAATTATTTCTTACTTATAAATATATTTTCTTCTTTACAGCCGAACCGCAAAGTCCAGGAAGCCGAGGCGGAAATTGAAGCTTAACTAAAGTTGTAACTTGAAGAACAAGTTTTTGGTGATGTTGCTAATTATATACAAAAATTAACCTCAAATGGATCTATACAATTATAAAATGGATTACTTATTTACACACATCTATTTATCAAAATACATACCCAAAAAGCGTATGTATTCGCTTTGTGAAGAAGAGAGGAAACTTGAGGCTTGTTATTTTTTATTATCTGTTGTTATCCTTGTTAGCTGTGCTTAATATTAAAAATGAGTTCTTAAGCCTTAACTTACAATCCAAAGTATACAATATAATGAAAATAAATAAACCTACATAAATGTATCATACCAAACCGAATAAAAATCTATATCTAATCAACTGTATTTAATATATAAATAACTTAAGTATGGCTATTTATGAACCTCTTTGTGTATTTACAAAATCTGTGTAATGTTTGTAGAAGGCATGTTGTGAATGCTAAAATTTGCGTGTATGTATATGTACAAAACATGAATTTGCAATAAAAAAAGAAACTTAAATAACTTACGAATGATTTCCATTTGCCTGACTTGATGATTGTATTACCGTCGGTGAATGGATTGATTCGTTAACAGCATAAGAAATGAAATTAACTTCTGTGGAACTCCAAGTTGAAATAATTATAATAATAAATGTGTGGTGTGCGTCTTGATGTTGCTGCATAAATGGAGTGACCTGCAGTTTTACGCTGCCTCCGAACTGTAAAAGGACTTTATGAGAAGCTTTTTCTTGGCAGAAATACACTAGGAGGTTTGCCATTGCCTGCCGAGGGGCGACTGCTGTTAGAAAAACCCTTTTCTAATTTAGATATTGCGCGCACCAGAGAAAGAACCCAGGCCCTATGGAGTGGTTGTACGCATATCTAACCACTCAGCCACAGCGGTTTTGCGTAGCATGGTTTCGATTGTGGTAAAGGTACTCATCCTGAGCAAAACCGAAACAAAACACGATACACAAAACAAAAGGAATCATTCCTTTAGTGCTCAGCAGATTAATGTTGCCTATGTAGTTAGCAGAATGGTTCAACTGCTTCATTCAAGGCGAATTTATACAAGGTGGTGTTGATGGCGAATTTAGATTTTCGCCGCGGTACTTCCTAATGTCAAAATTATGTGTTTGTTGTAAACAAGGCGAATTCATTTTACAACATACACATTATTTTGACATTAAGAAGTACCGCGGCGAAAATCCAAATTCGCCATCAACACCACCTTGTATAACCTTGGCTTCAGTAGATTTCTGCGCATTGTGTGTGTGTGTATTTACATCTTTGCAAAATGCCGCGTCCTCTGATATGCACAGTATGTAAGTTAACACGTGCAGCCCAAGGGCAGTCGTAACAGTTGCAGTAAGCA